AAATGAGATAGCGAAATTATTTAAAATTCCATAAGTAAGGGACTGTTACGTCCACTTTTAATTTGGCTTTTGTTGAAGGGTTAATAATAGACATACTGGACATACACAAAATTACCCTTTTATCGTAAGTTACTTTTATTTATTACTCGCAAATTGTGTGTATAACAAAAGCAACTGCTGGAATACATCATTTATTAACATTCCCACTCCCTTAAGGGCGGATCCTTTTTGGCACATAATTTGAGGAAAGTTAATTATTCTATTTAAAAAATAATATCTTTTAACAGTATTTAATTTTTATGAAGTTTCTTTAAATTTTTTACGAAACCTCAATTTTTTTGATAAACAGATAATTTTTTTCTACTTTTTCTTTAACATTAGACCAAATAATATATAATTAACAAAATTTAAATTAAATATTTTTATATTTCTTTATTCTAACCTAATAACATATTTTTCATGTCTTCCACAGATATTTTAATATCCACTATATTGTGAAAGCAATTTTCATAGCTCCTGGTTCCTCACTTGAGTTTTTTCATTTTGATTAATAATGATAAAATTATTATACCTCAAAAAATTGAGAATTAACACAAACAACATTCACTTCTCATATCTTATACAAAAATAAACATCAATTCAGTGATTTATAAATTTGAATAATTCCATCTAATGCTTGAAACCCAGCAGATATGTGCTTTCCGGCATAACGGTAAATATTATTGGATTGGACTAGATGTGCGTCGGTAGCAGAGGTAAAATAAATTGCGTCGCCTCGAAGAAGATGCAGGCAGGGTGAAATATGATCTAGGCCGCGGAGCAAGCAGGCAATTTGATCAGAAGATTTTCATTCATTGAAACCCGATCGGCGCGGCGTTGTGCGGCGGCAGCGGCGGCGGGCCCGGAAAATTTATTTATCAAACAAATCTGATGATGTGATTAGACGCTATCGGGCTTATTTGGCCCGCACGGCGTGTGTGTATATTATATATCGATTCGAAAAGCAAACTTTGCCGAGGAGAGACACCCGAGAGAGCAAATATTTGTCAAGTGCATGTGAAAGTGTGTGCGCGACTTTGAAGGGCGGCGGAGCGCGAAAAGTGCATGCAGACAAAGTCAAAAGCAAGCACGGATGGGTCGCGACCACTTGGGGCGAAATTAGCCTTTGAGCCGAAATTAAGTGACCCCGAGAGCCGCCGCCCTTTGAACCCGCTGCGGGCAAAACTTTTTCGCCCCGCGCGAGCTGCACGGGGTGGGCACGCGTGCGCAAAAAGGCTGATCGCCATTCCTCTGGCTCGCATTGTTTTAAGTAAGGGCTGCAGCGCGCATGACGCTTTTGCAGCTCAAATCCCCACGCGACTCGTTGCTCGCAAATACAAATGCAACAAATTATATTGCTGCAGTTTTTGCCCTTTCGAGTTCGCAGCATAATTATACATTCGCTCGCCCTCGACCAACTGCATTAATATAAACGCCGGACAATCGACGATAAATTGCACGCTTGTTTTGCTCCCTGCTGCTTTCCATAAATTATTCTATCGCTGCCTCATTTTTCAACTCTGGTGCAACAGTCATAGTTTATTTGCTGCACATTAAAAAAGCAAAACATCACAGACCAAAAATATAAAATTAAATCAATTTATAAATTTTTTTGTTTGATAGTTGGCGATCAAATGTAACTCTAAAAAGTGCTTATTCAATGATTTTCAATTTTGATCGTATTTAATTGGTGGAAGAAGTTTATTTTATTTCATAACTCTTACTTAGCGTATTTCTTTCCTCCAATTATTCGGCTCAAATACCATTTCATGGAATAATAATAATCAATACACCATATAAATTTTCTAATTAAATCCCTAGAAAAATAATTCGTAAATAATGCAAACAAACACTTAATAAAATTCAATTAGATTACAACGCAATTTTCATTCAAATTATTAATTATATTAATAGGTGCGGCTGTAGTATGGAATTTTCCACAGCACGCGTTTCATGACTGAAAGCAGAAATTTTGATGTATAGATTCCCCCAAATCGGCATATCCATAAATAATAAGCTCCATGCACCGCGCCAGTCGATAAAATTGGCTTTACATTTGAGAGTAAAATCACGTTCTTGACGTTTGCGCTGGCAACGGGAAAACGATTTTTATTGGAAAATATTATTCTGCATATTGCCCAGTGCTTGCAAGAGGGCCCTCGAGAAAGAGGAACGCGAATTTCGTGCTTGTTCAATATTTGCTGCTTTTGTTGTCCTCTGGAACACATTTTCCTCAACTCGCCCAAACGATGCAAACATTTTGCTACGTTGGATTTCCATAAAATATCAGAAGAACATATAAATAATTTTCCTTGAATAATCGATTTTTCATTAAAAAAATAAGTGTTTTACATAAATTTCAAAATTTCGTTTTTATCTTTTGAATTCAATTATGAATTCTTTTTTTTTGCTATATTTATCATTGTTTTTATCTAATATTCAAATTTAGGTTACAAACTATTTAAGCACAGACACATAATTGAATCATTTTATTCTAATAATAATATTTAAATATTAATAGTTATGAACTTATTAGTTATGATTAATATGCAAATCCGCACAATATCATAAATAGATTTATTCCACATATTTTAGCCTAACAATTATCTTATCTATTATTTTATTTAGAGTTTTAAAAAAACACGTGTTAATAGTTGATATCCTTTAAGGTTTGCTAAATAATCTTAAGTTACTATCCAATGCGAGATATAAGAGATTACATCAGATCAATGCAAGAAATAATTTTATTTAATTCATAATCAAAATTAAGATATAAATGAGAAATTTGGTTATTAAATAATAACTTGCGTACCTGTGTACATCATATTGCTACATGATAAAATATTTATGATAACAATTAATAACGTTTAAGTGTCAATAACTTTGTTTATATTTTTTGTAAGATGGCTTTTTAACGTTCTTACAATTATCAAATTTAATATAATTAACGAAAATCAATTCACATTTTTTTTCTATTATAATTAATGGTTGGTGAAAATATAGAATAAATAATACTAGCTAGAAGAGCTTTTGAAAGTAAGGATTGCGTGAAATTTTGTGAGCAAAAATTATTTTAATAAATGCAAAATGGTATGAGTATAATAAATTGCTTAAAATGTTTCGCATCTGAAAGAAGGGCGCTATTAGGTGGTGCAATATCACGCGCAAGATAATAAACAGAAATTGTTGTGGCGCAGAAATACCTGGTCAGGACGAGCGCGGTGGAAATTTAATTGCTAGCGGTTTGCGAGGGAATAATTCTGCGGGCGGGCGAGGGCGCCGTTTGGCGCGCGAAGAGGGCCCGCTCGCGCACGGAGCGCACCTCGCGTCGGCCCGCAAAAAGCTGCGCCTTGATTTATTCACAATCTGCATTGCGGTCGCCTGAGTTATGACTGCAGATTTGGCCTTGCCGATTCGGAACACCAGGCCGGGCGCCCAAATATGCTAACTGGCACTTTTTATTGCTCGAGGGCGCGGCCGAGGGTGGCGATTAAAATTCCTAATTTATTATGCGAGAATGCGCGAGCGAGGGGTAGCGCCTGAAAAGACGGTCATTCTACATCCCAGAGATAAAGGGCACATTCCTCTCTCCCACCCAGCTTTATATATATATTTTAATTAAATAATTTGGCTTTGATAAAGAAAGTCAGAATAGAAAAGGATGCTGCCAAGGGATAAGAACGGGTGGTGTCGATTCCACAGCCACTATATATGTAGAAGAAACGGGGGGTGGGGTGCAAGGGGGCTGGGGTGGATAATTGAGTCGTATCGCGGGTTAATCTTCAAACAGGCGGCGCCACTTGTCCATCCAGCTCATTTTTAAAACAAAGATTTGTTGAAAATGAACGCAAACAATTTTTTAGTATCAAATAGGCTTCAAATTTGTCCATTCACTATTTAAAACTTGTTGATTATACTTTAAATTTATTGAACCATATTTATAACAAATGCATATCCTCCATTGGCCCACATAACTTCGGAATTTCAATTGTATTGAAGTTTCAGATACAGCAAATTTGGCAGCAGACACAATAATATATAAAAATAAGTAATAATTTTGTAAGCCAAGCACACATATAAGCTGATTCAAGCATGCACCAAGTAAAAATATGAATATAAAAATATTTTTGTATAAAATACAATATAAAGTGCTAAAATAACGTTGAAAATAATAGATAAAATGAATTTAATGGAATTAAAGAAATAACATGTAGTTTTATTTTATTACAAAACTTCTTACTCTTAGCACTACATTTTGTTATCTTTTTAAGATTATTTATTACAAAATCTAACCACTAGTTATATAAATAGATTAAATAAATTAATATGTATATTCAAAAATTAATGTAACAAATTACATTTTGAATAAGAAGCAATATCACCGCTTTTTTTTCCATAGATTAATAATTTCCTTTGCAAATTGTGTCAATCACTACGGGTGTTTGCCACAGACAGTACGTATTTACTCAAAACTTTTAGAAAATTTATATATTATGACGAGTACAATTCATTTCACAAATAATAGTGCTTTGTGTTTGAAAATGATTAAAAGTGTTATTAATATGGATCGATGTATCCCACGGAACATAAAACAAAGTTGTCATTTGAAATCATTTAAAATAAAATAACTTGTTCAATAAATGCATCGAATTATTGTTTTCTAATGAAATACAAAATTAAAAAAGGTATTAAAAAATAATATGAAAATAGCGAACGTTTATGCAAAAATTTGGACTCAAAAATAGGTTTAAAACGCTTATTTAAAGCATTTAAATGCAGTAAAGTGAATTGAATAAAATGAATTGAATCTGTTTGAAATATTTCAGAGACATTATGATAAGTGGTATTTATTTCTATGGATATTGCAAACATATTTTTATAAACATTTTGAATAAATTCAAAAGTGGTGAAAAATTGAAATGAAAAAGCGTTGATAAATAAAATATATTTTTTGTACTCACCACCAGTGTTGGCCGAGTCGTGCCTGAGGCCAGGGCTGAGGCCGAGGACCCCCGGGGTGGCTGCAGGTCCCATGCCGTGGTGCGAGGCCGCGTGCGGGTTGTGCGACGCGTGGTGGCCGTGGTGGTGGTGGCCCATGACCATGCCGGCGGCCGAGTTGGGCAGGAAGGCGGCGGCCGCTGCGTTAAAGTACATGCTGCGGGCGGCCGCGCCGAGGGGGTCAGAGGCCCCCGAGAAGTTGGGCAAGCGGGGCGGGTAGCCATTGGGCGTGATGGCCGAGACGCCGGCCGTGGGGCTGCGGTGGTGGCTGGAGGCGGCCGTTGACGTGGCCGCGATGACAGCGGCCGCGACGGCCGCACTGGCCGCCGACGTGGGCGTGTCGTGGTGCTGCGTGAGGCCGAGCAGCTCCTGGATGGCGAAGGGCGATCGCTGGGGCATTCCGGAGGCAGGGGTGCTGAGTACGCTGGGGGCCGAAACGTGAATCGTGGTCGAGCCGCGCTCCGCGTGCAACATCGTGTTCGAGTCTCTCGCTTTCAAGGTAGGCAGCCGGCGGGACACGCTTGTCCGGCGGGTTGCATATCACTCGCAGTCGGTCGGGGGCAGCAGTGGAGGCACGTCCTCTTCCTTTGCCGGCACAGTCACGACTCGCTCAGCAACCCCCACTCTGTCGGGCGCAACCCTTGGTGCTCACACCCCCGGACAGATTGGCCTGTCGGGGGCCTGGGGTGGGGGCAGGCGACTGCTTCAGATTAGCTCGTCTGGGGGGAGGGGCGGCTGCGGCGCCCGCTGGCCACGCCTGGCGGTGGGAGGGTGGCTTCGCTCACGGGTCTGCGCTCGATCCGCCTCCGGGGGCGGCTGGAGAGGCGACAATGGCCCCTGCGCTCGTCGCCGCAAGGATGGTGCTGCTCACGCTGGGAGGAGTCGACGCTCTGATGCTGGCGGAGCACCCGCCAAATGACTCATTCACCGCTGGATAAGCTGGCTAACAGGGTCACCTGTAATCACCACCGAAAGAGACGCTTTAGTTGAATAAATATATACATTTCTTGCTCACTCAATGGTGCGCAATTGGAAAATGAAATAAGTGTGCGGATAAATTATTTAGCGCGAAAATTGCTGCTGCTTGGTACAGTCAGGGAACGTTAAAGGCCATGGAGAATTACTGTGAATACACGAAAATTTGATGAAATAGCTTTTTTTATAATTCTTTTTTGCATTCTGAATGACATTAGAATTATAGATATGGAAAACAATTTGAACAATTTTTTGTGTTCATTTAAGCACATTTTAAAAATAAGGATCAATGAAGAAAGAATAATCTTCACGTTTGTTTTTTTACAGCACGTAAATATTCTAACTTGTTATTTAATGATTCCTTTATTTGAAGTGTGTTTGAATTAAAATTCTCATAATGTAATCATGGTTCGCGCATATAAAAATAATCGGAGCAAAATTCTATAGTTGCCAAGCGCTCTGATTCGGTGCAAATTAACTTGTACCCAATTTAATCAGAAAGCTCAAACAACAATCAATACATTTATAATTGTTCTGATGTGCGAGCCTTGCTTTTAATAAAAATATATGGTTTACTTTATCTATATAAAAATGTATATCATAAAATGTATGTGATATGTGCAATTGTGCATATTTACTGCGTTAGCTTGCAAATAAGCTTTTAGCACGAAACCCCAATTATTTGAAAATTCTCGCAATATTATGCAATTTGAGCAAATTAAAAACTATGCTAACCTCCTATCACATTAAACATTCAATTAAATTATGCTATGCTCTACTCGCATTTCAAATAATTTGACGGACATGTGAACTAGAAGATATTATTTTATAATAATGATATAATTACAAACCCAGGCAAAGGGTTTGATTATCAAATAATTTTCAAACTGAAAATCTCAATAACACAAACATAATTAATGAGGCCATTGAGGGTAATATTGCTTAGTGTACACGCATTTGAAGGCGAGTTTCTTAATTTATCAATACATTACTTCATATTTCCAAGGAAAAGAAAAAGATAACTAGCATTGCAAAAAAGGAGAATGAATTAATTGTGAGTATCTTTGCTTCATAAAAATTTCAAAATAATTGTTTGTTTATGTATTATCAAATTTTTATTGCCGCGATTTTAGCTTTAATTGCATCAAAAAATACTAAATGCCTATACTGAAGTTGCACTATTAATTTCAACGCAAACATTTTTATGTAATGCAGATTAACTTTAAAAACGGTACAATTAATTTGAATTAATTTTAAAAGCGATTTATTCTTTTATATTTAAGCACAATTCTAAGTAAGTCTCTTGCACTTATTTACTAAGTACGGAGCTTTATGGCTCATATTTAATATAATATTTATGAATTAAAAATTTCCAATGCGGGTTTATATAAAAGGTTTAAATGGTAAATTTTTTATTAAAGTTTGTGAAGCGAGCAAAAGGCAAGATTCTTGTTTTACATGAATGGAGAATGAATGAAGAATGAATAAAAAAATTTTTATTAACAAATATTAAATTATTACGTCTGACCTCTTCTTATTCCGATTCTCTCAATCAATATTAACATTCTCAATTAATTTATCAATTAATTTGATACTGTAACATATCATTGTATAATTCGTGTCACACCGGTACCCCAAAAATGTCGTATAAATAATTGTTTGAAGAAGTTAACACTCGAGGAGATTATCATGGAAATGAAGAGATTGGGCATTTCCTCGTTGCAGAAATTTTTTTGATCAAAAACAAAAGGCTCTACTAGTTTCGGTCACAGTGTGCGACCCTATTTCATGGGCAATCGCGCAGCTCGCTAACTAATACAAGAATGATAAACAATTGAATTTTAAATTAATAAGGATAAATAACAATTTCTGCAAAGAGGAAAAAGCCTCAAGCAAATACTGCCAAATCAGGAATATTGATATCCAATGTTTGAATCATGAAATATGAAAGTGATAATATATAAATTTTTTATTTGATTTTGTACAAATAAAATTGTTATAACCTCTAATCAACTAAATTTTTTGGCAATATTATTTAAAAAAAAAAATATATATTAATGCTTAAAATAATTATTTATAAAAAAATATTTTTAACTGAAAACGAATTAAAACATTGGCATTAAATATGTTTTTTAATTTTAAGGAAGATTTTTTTATTTTTATGCCATTATTTTTAGTTAAAACAATATTATCTGGACAAATTTATTGATTGGAAGATTGGATGTTTATGAAACGTGATAGCTCTTACAAGCTGATCAACCGCTAATGAGGGATTAAGCATTTTTTCCGAGTCTCTCAGCAGGCGCTACAGTTGCTTGTGTTGCAAAAGGGGTGCTGCAAAGCGTAGGGGTGCAGTTTTACATGCAGACGGAGAGGGTGGTTGCGCAGAGCTTGCGCGAGCTAATGTGTAATTTAACAAGGGACGCGTGCCGGGTGGCAATGATTTTGAGCCGAAACCGTGCGCCCGCATAATAATCAGTTAGGCGCGCAGTCAATGAGCTGTATATGCGGCCGTGTGCGCGCTGCCACGTTAATAATCGCCCGCGAACGTCGAGCAAAATAATATGCTGCCGTGTGCTGCTCAGCCACACTGCTCTGACTATTCAGGCATCATCCCTTAATTAGAGACTCGCCGCAAATCACCCGCTCCGTGATCACTCACAAATAACTGGCTATTTGCCGCAGGCGCACCTTAATTAAGCGCGAGCAAACCGCACAGGTTCTACACGCGATTAGGGGTAGAATGGAAATTTTGTATAATAACATTATTAACGTCCAAATTAAACTAAAACCCGCAAAAACCTACGCAACTATTTTGCACTTTGTTTATGACAATGAGGTTAAAGTTTGAATATAAATAATTCAATAAATTAACAGTTTAAGCAATATTAGGCGTATTCACATTAGAAAAGTAAATGGTATACATTGCCTGCAAACGTAAAGCAAGATAAAAAAAAATACACCGAAATAAAATTTAATTCATGGTGTTAACAAAATTTCGTATTTGCTCAAAATACCATTATATCTTACTCGATTGTTGTTAATGTTTTTTTATAACTGTAAAAACTTTTTATTGCACAATTCTCATCTTTTCTCTAAATTGCATTAAATGTAAAACTTTGATTGTACTCAGTATGGGCAGCAATGGCCTTTGTGATAGATAACAAACACAAAACATATTTTATCATTTAAAAAGCACAATAGAAAACATGTTTATATTATGAAATTTAATATTATAATTTAATTTTTTTTTCGTTTTTATAAATTTTAAACTTTAATATCAACATTGGCCTTATGTTAAGTTTTATGACGTTAATTTGAATAAAGATATTTCATTCAATTTTTCTGCATTTTCAAGTTTTTTCTGTGCTATTTAAGTACATAATAAAATTATTAAAATACATTTCAGTGCAGGTGAACAATTTAAGTTGCAAATTGTGTTTATTAATGTATCACCGGGCATTCTCTGCCCAAGTACATCATCCATACATTCAATATTTTAATTACTTTTTATTAAAACTAAGTCCTGGTTGTTATCCTTTGAATAAATTATTGAGATTATCAGTTTTACTAGACGAATTAAATCTTGCTGATCTGAAAAACTGTTTAAGTTTATGGCCTTCTATAGAACATTGCAGTTGTTTATTGCTAAATTAGATCATCGGACACTGACTTGCAATTTAGATTCACTAAAAATCTTTGATAATTTTCGCTTCAAATTATGTGTTTCTTAATAATTATTTGTTTATAGCTTTTCACGCTCAACTTGTAAGAGGTCCTCGTCAAACAACCATTTAATATTATTCACTATTTCAAGATTCCAGTTTCCGGGGTTGAAAAATTCTATTTTAGTCACAAACAGGATTCACGGTTTGTTCTTCAATAATTTATATAATTTTTTTAATCAATTAGGTCTGCGTTATTGTAGAAGAAATTCCTTTAATATTGTACCGTTTAATTTATATTGCAAAATATTCAGAAACAAAATAATCTCTCCGTTACTTGGATTCATTATTTAATCACATGAATGAAATTTTTTGCATATTAAATTTATGATCTACAGAAAACATTGCGAAGAGCTTGCTGACTACCAAAATTTTGCTCCTTATAGCCGCACAAAAAAAAAACTGGTTGGGGCATAATGTTTTGCGCTTATTGTTGGCGTTAAAAATCATACTAATTTTTATTATAAATGCCAACTTGAAATTTGATTTAATTTATTTTACAATGTATTTGTGTTAAAATTGTTATCGATTCAACTCATAGATATGTATATTTGAGTCGGATGTAGCATATTTGAATTTAAAAGTATAAATAATATGAGCCGAAACTTGCAACTTGTTAATAAACTAAAAACATTGGAGAGTCAAATTAAAATAATTGGTTAAAATATAATTACGGAATGTAACATTAAATAAAATAAATAATTGCAAAACAAAATAGTATGAAATTTCCTATACCTTTGCAGGAGAACGCGTTGTCTCAGCAAAAGAAGCGATGTCCAGAGAGGAAGCAAGTCAGGTCTTTCAGCAAAAGGACCGCCGTGAGCAAGAGTCAAAATGCAAGTGCGAGCGGCAGAGTCGCGGGGGCGAGTGAGAGAAAGAAAGGCGAATTAAAAATTGCACCTTACAAAATATGTGTACAAAGAGGCGGCAGGCGCTGGAAAACAGGGCCGGAGCTGGGAAATTGGCTTGTGCAGGTGGAAGTAGGCAGGCGCGTCGCAGCCCAGCAGCCAGCCAAATATGCAACCGGGCGTGCAGCCAAGGGGTAAATATCAACACAAAGATAACCCTTCTCCTGGCCGCCGCGTATCGTAATTTCATGCTCGGCAATTTTGCACTTAACAATGCAAAAAGGCGGGCCCGACGCGATTTTTCCCCGCCCGCTTTTGGCCGCCGCCGCGCGCACCGAAGTCTCGGCACTTTTCGGCCGCGCCCGTCACTTTTTAATAACTCGGCGAAGAGCGAGAAAAGAGAGAAGTGTTAATCACTCGTAATTGTATTTTTATATTCACAGTTATTAATGTGTGTAGATTTTAATGGTGCCGCTCGTTCGCTTGCGCACCGGTGCATTATTATTATTATTATTCGTGGCAGAATTTCTTCAAAGTTGAGCTGAGCCCGCCTCTCTCTTTCTCACTCGCTCGCTGTTATTATGATTATTACGAAACAAAATCTGCACGCCGGCAGCTCCCCACAGGGTGCGGATTATTTTTTATATTCACTTGCTTTCGTGCACGTTTTTCACGCAAATTGTGAAAGCATTATTATGTATATGGAGAGAGGCAGCAGGGCGAGTTTTAATGCAAATATAATAAACGCTCAGCACACTGGAGTAGTTTTCCTCGCAGATATAATTATTCTCTCCGAAATATAAAAGGCACGTAAGAATTGTTTTGATGAACACATTTCAAAGGAAATAATAATAATTGCTCTAGGAAATGGAGACGCAGCCGTACAAAGTCAAACATTAAAAAAATTGCAGTCTCGCACTGCTTTCCTTCGAACAAATACAATACTACATTTGCAGTAAACTATTTAAATTAATTTTTAATCAAAATATCATTTATTAAGTAAGTGCATTAAAAATTATTTTAACAAAACTGGAAATGAAATATGAAAATAAATCCTTGAGCATACGGAACTGACATTTTTAAAACTCAAGCTATGAGTGCTATGATTGGCCATGCAATCCAGCTACTTGGAGATTTTTATAAATTTCTTTTGTTGGTGCTAGAAAATCTTGATTTTTTTTTTTTAAGTATAAAAATATATTATGGTAGCTTGGACCACAAAAGCCATTGTGAGCAAAATGATTTTAATGAATATCAAGGAACGTATATTAAATTTTTATGAATTGAGGATGCTGATTTTTAATGAAACTATTCAATATACCTTTATTTACGGTTTTACAAATCTATTGCAAAATAAATATTGTTGAAATAAAAAATTTTTGTATGATGCATATCTTTAATTATGTTTGATGAAATTTAAATAGAGAATTCCACATTCATATGGCATTGTGATAACTGAGTTTTTTAATTTGCAGACGCAATGCTCGAATCTATAAAGTTGTTATATACCGGTGCAACTGAAAGCTCTTTCGTAACCTCAATCACCGGCGTTGACGAGACGAGCGAGCACCAAAGTGAATAACAAATTTGACCAAGTCAGCACCTGATTTGTAATAAACTCGATCCACTCATCGCCGAGAGAGGAAAATACATCACGCGAAGAGAGATGAGAGTTGCGACAGAGTTTGGAGGAATTATTTCAAATTCAATTTGTATTACAAGATGAATGTGGCGCAAGATGAAAGGGAGTCGCAGTCCGATCGAGGGTGCTGAGGGAGCTGATGATGATGAGCGAGAGTTATCATCGCTTTTCCAATACGTCAGATTTGATGCTGTTACTGCACTTCCTTTGAAGTGTGCCTGATGAGCTTTGCGAAATGAGTAATCTTCAGATTGTCGCATACCAAAGAACTTATTGAGATGCTCCAGGCTTGCCGAGATGCAAATAAAGGAAGTTGGAATAAATTTATTTGTTCATTATTGAGTGGACACAATTCAATGTATTTCATAGCGTATCGTGAAATTTGTATTATTTTTTATCATATTCCTTCTCATGTATTTTCAGTTTTATCATAATTAATTTTTGTATTTACTTTAAGTAAAATGTGCATATCAATTAATTGAATGGAGTAAAAATAAATATACTAATAAATATTGTATGATTGATTGAGAAAATATGGAACAATGATCCCTGTTATTTATTTGTTTAATTTTAGGCCCACAAAAATTCATTTTCTGAAAATTGTAAACATGGCTGCCAGAAGAGACGAGAAGTACAAATATTTTAGCAAATACTTCTTCAGCGATAAGGGATTTTTAGTCTGTCAAATTTTAATTCAGACTTACATGAAAAAAATTGATAATAAAATGTTCTAATTAAATTTAAATTATGTTTTTCATTATATTATTTAAGTCATATGAACAAAATATTTCCTCTGCAGATGAAGTATTCAAATTAATTATTTATTAAATCGTTATTCCCGGAACAAATTCCAATTATCCTTTTCCATTATTCCCCAATAACAGCCGTCATTGTTGTCTGTTGAAAAACCAATATGTCATTATGAAGCATTTCTTTTTTTCCAGCGCCAGCTCAAGACGTCAAACGCCTCTATACTATAATCCCTCCTGAAGGCACAAAGGCTGCATTGAACGTTAAAGGGTTATTCCCACATCAATTCAGCCTGAATATTGTATGTATTATCAAACGCTCTCTGTGTGTGCATGGGCTCTTGAAGAAAAAAAAATTGTATACCTGCGCCGAGAGCAGCAGCGTACACACACACACACACACACGTTCGCTTTTATTGAATGTGTGATGTGCGAGCTGGAGAACGAGGCGAGATAAGCGTTGCGCGGACAATCGCTTTGAATGCTTCCCATTCAATAATAACATTATCGGTTGGCACTCGAGGGCTATTCTCACCAGACGTGTAATCATGTAGTGACAGTTGAAATCAGCATAATGGAGCCTGCCGCGGCGCACAAAAACGTAGCCACTCTGTTCATTACAGGTGTGAACAGCCCCATCAAAATAAAAATATATAATATTTCTATAACTCTCGATCAGCCCGTATTAGGAAACTCCTCGTTTGCTACTTGAAAAAGTACTCATTGGCAAAATGTTTATTTCACTTGCATTTTTTCCAATGATGCTACCCAAAACTATAAAAAAGCGTTGAATTGTTTAATGACCAATGTGGAAATGCATTATCATTTTTAATGTACCATTAGTGATGCATCCCATTAATTACAGCAATTGCTTTTGTGAAAGATCAATAAACAAAATTTGCAACTTATTTGGAATTCTTTTTGTATTATCATAATTTTATTCTACCGGAAAATGTCAACTGTATTCAATTAAAAGTGAAGAAATCGGGCTTTTTCCTCTCACTGTACAAAATTTCTTTATTAAAAAAACAAGACGGCTCGACCAGTTTCAGTTACGGTCTCTGACACTATTTCATAAGCAAGAATAATACAAAAAATTAGCAAATTGAAAAATCACGTTTTTAACAAAAAATTCAAAGTATTATGATTAAGGGAAAAATACCTTTAAATTATTTCTCTGAAAACCCGTTTTCTAAATTATAATTTCATCAGAGAACAACTCCTTTGTATAACGCCAAAAAGTTGCGCTATACATAAAAAATTGAGGTTTTTCAATAAAGTTAAAAAATTACATTCTGCAAATTATTTTGGTATTCCTCAGGGATATTTAAATAATTGAATTACGATTAAAAAATGTATTCCGCATCCTCTCAAGGTATAAGAAATTCATGAAAAATATTATTTAATAGAGCTTATTATGAAACAAAATTATACATTCAAAGTTTGGAACAAAATCAGGTAATAATTCAAAATTGCAAGATAATTTTATTTTTTTAGATATGTTTAACGCCACAACTTCATGCCTATTGATTTTTTTTACACAGGTTTTTTTTCACGCCAGGTAGGATCACATTTCACCCCCTTAATTATAAGTTGTGAATTGTGAAGAGTTTTGCGCAAAAGAACGAAAGCTGAATACAATTGTAAAAAGAATTGAAATTCGAGACCACACAAGTTAGTAGAAATCCATTCATTCATTATTCACATCCTCATCGATTCATAGATAAATTGTAATGATTTGGAAAGTATAATAGTGCATCATTGATATGGACCATCATTGCAATCGTTGCTCTCAGAAATCTCATAACATTTCATTAAAACACTTTTGTGCGCACTGCAAAAAAGAGAGTGAAGCCCAAATAAACATACTCGGCGCGTCTCGATAGATTCCACGGTGGTTTTCTTTCCGCGGCTCCAACCATTCATCAGTGTGCGAGAAAAAAAGCAAGGAATTTTTCCCTTGTGCAACGCAAGGAGCACGCTCGTATGTGTGTATTTATCTTAAAAAGCACATATCTTTGAACTGCCATGCAGGAAACTTTTATTTTGAAAGAAGCTGTCATCATCGTTTATTTGCTCCAAGCAGAATAAGAAACGCGCGGCTCTGAGCTGCTGCTGGAAAGGTGGTCTTCCTTTTGCTCTTGTGGCTCCACATTGATTGCACCAATATCTTTTATTTATTAAGTCCAATTTCAAAGTGCGTTTCTTTCCAGGGCAGGTGTGTTATTAAATTGCAGGAGCGTAAAACGTTTAATCAGTCTCAACAATTTGCGATCAAAGTTGGTTTTTGGTCTCTCATTTACACCACTCTCAATTTCACATATTTTCACACTTGCAAGACTCAGGATTTTGCCATACCAAGTTTATATCTGATCATTTTTTACTTTGTATTTATTGCAATTATTAATAAAGGTAAAAAATAAATAAAGTCTAATTTTAATTATAAAATATTAATTAAAAATTTGAAATATTCAAAGATTTATTGTTTGATGACTGATTTAATCTTAATTCTTTGACGGCGAGTAAAATTTTCCATTTTATTTTTAAATTCCAAAATTTTCAACATTGCTTTTTCATTGATGTATACACATATTAATTGATCCCGTAATGAATGCTCAATAGGCGGTTGGAACTAATGAGTAATTTGCTTTGTAATACTAATTAATTGCGAGAAGATGCGTCCATTGAGCCAATGATCGCGCCGTCCAACCGCACCTGTCATGCCTCTCAAGTCGAGATGAAATGA